AATGATCGGGGCTTTGGGATTAGGGATTACATTATGGTCTGCATTCAAATTGTATAATCATATTGTGTTACACTTTATTGAATAAGTTTATTCTCAATTTATTTTACAGTAAACTCATACAAAACTATTTATAAAGATATTGAAAAATTTAATTATATTAATTTATTAAATAACTAAAATTATCAAGGTATAAATATCAAACTTATGATATTGCTTAATAGGGTGTAACAAGTTATATAAAAGCTCAATCAGTGAGGGATTAATTTATTTTGCAAAAATATTATTGACCGAAATATTCTTAAAAGAAAAGGCAAACGATTAAAAAATATATCAATTTAAAGTTAGATTAATGAAATCTCATGGGTTATTTTTTTTATAAAATACAAATATAAGAATAATATACAAAAATAAAAATAATACATTGAAATGACAATATTTAATACTGATTGTTAGGTCTGTGGGAACGCCTCAGCACTACGAAAATGCAATTGATATAAAGCCATCGACTTATAAAAATGAATGCAAAGAAATTGACTATTTTGTTGAGAGACAGAGAGAATTATGTTCACTAAACCAAAATATTCTGCAAACGGTGGCAAAAGGGGCCAAACTTGGTATTGAAGAATGTCAGCATCAGTTCCAGATGAACAGATGGAATTGCACCACATATCAAGATCCACAACATAAAGTGTTTGGCGGAGTCTTAGACATCAGTAAGATTTTATTAATTTCTCTCAAAAATTCCTGTTTTGTTTTTCTTTCTGTCAAAAGTCATTAATTAGTTAGAAAACTAGAAATAGAAATGTGTTTTTGAGACAATCTTTTAAATGATTGGACATATTTCCACATTTTCCATATATTTAACGCAAACATATGAGTTAACGTACATTTTACACAAGCTTACTGCTATGAACTAATTTTTACTATTATGGATATAGTAATTGGTTTATGGATTTACATTATTTAAAATCCTATTCACTAAATAATAAATGCAGTTTACAGCAAAATAATGATTGAAAGACAAACTTAATGTAAATTATATGAATTTGATTGAAAATAACAAATGAATTGGTAAACAGACAGTCGAGAGAAGGCATACATACATGCGGTGAGTGCGGCGGGAATTGCATACAGCATAACGAGAGCGTGTAGTAAAGGAGAGATCAGTGAATGTGGATGTGATGACAAAGTGAGGAACAAAGACACTCGAGGGAAGTGGGAATGGGGCGGATGTTCTGATGACATCCACTTCGGCGCTCATTTCAGTAAAGACTTTGCAGACGGTATCGAAGCCTTCAATACATCGGAAGGACTCATGAATTTGCATAACAACGAAGCCGGCCGTCGAGTCAGTCCTCCAATTACTCAATTATTTCTAATAATTAATTCTTTCCATACAATCACTCTATCATTCAGACTATTAGATCCAATATGGAGTTAATGTGCAAATGTCACGGCGTTTCCGGTTCTTGCACTGTAAGGGTTTGCTGGAGAAAAATGAAACCATTCAGAGAAATAGGCGAACAACTGGTCCGCAAGTTTGACGGCGCGACTCATGTGAAAGTAATTGAGAGAAAACATCAGTTCAGACTTCGGCCGACCCGTAAAGACATCAAAAGGCCGTCGAAGAAAGATTTGGTTTATTTGGAAGAATCGCCTGATTTTTGTTTCAAAAACTCATCGTATGATTTGAATGAGATTTTTGTATCAATTATTTAATAACTAATGTTTGACTGTTAGGGTCGGAGTTTTGGGCACAAAAGGTCGTGAATGTAATGCCACCTCTTATGGGATGGACGGCTGCCGACTGTTGTGTTGCGGTCGCGGATATCAAACAGTGGAGAAAGAGGTAACAATGATAGGGTGTTTAATAGCATTTTATGGTTAATTAAATGGTTTGTAAAATTGAATAAATAGGTGGAGGAGAAGTGCAACTGTAAGTTTGTCTGGTGTTGTAAAGTGCAGTGCCAAAAGTGTTCCAGTCGTCGTGAGGTTCACACTTGTAATTAAATTACATTTTTACTTCATATCACATACAAATTCACCACCGATTGCAACATTTAATTCATTATATATTCAATTTACCGTATATACTCTCACAAGAACACCCGGTAATATTATGTGAAATTCAGTAAAGGGGGGTAATCTTATCCAGGTAGCATTACCCCTATATTTAGGATGATGATTACATCTTACTAAAAACTTATACTATTGCACTTTATTGCTTGAATTGAATACGATATACTCGTTAATAATGACTCATTAACAATAATATTTAATTATTAAATAACGCCAAAATGTATCAATTTCCTACGAAATGCATTCAATAGCATTCACTAAAATGTCTCAAATTGTTAGTTTGTCTTCAAATAAAGACATTAATGATAATATGGTGACAGCTCTTAACTCTGGACTTAGAGATATCTTATGAATTTTCTTAAATATATAGTTTGAATTTTATAAAAATCATTTGCTATTTGAATGAATAAATACGCTTCAATTGAATTTCACATAGTGTTACCGGTAACAGTATGTAAGTTTTAGTAAAGGGGGGTAATATTATCTAGGTAACATTACCCCTGTTTTGAAAAATCGCATTTTAACTGGATTTCACATAATATTACCGGTGTTCTTATGAGAGTATATACGGTACAAAACAATCCATAAATAAACTTATTATTTCATTAAATCGTTGTCTCGTATATTAAAAAATAATGTAAATATTATACAAAATATTCGTAATAATAATAAAATTCATAAATCATTTCTTAACACAAATTTAATGATATTTTTTGGGAAACAGTCGTATGAATACAACAATCCATAGGAAAGTAAACGAAACAATGAATAACATAATCCATAGCCAGTACTGACACGAGCGGCGGACAAAGTCACCAATTTTATCGGTATTCGTCTTAAGACTGTCGGTATTTTTTTGCGCTAAACCAGCGCTTCTGTCCAAACTCTATAACAATCAAAGCAGTAATCATTTAAAAGTCAATCAAATAGTGATAAAAGTGAAGCAGTGGTCAAACCTCTGTGTCTTTTTTGATGATCTCATTACTGAGACTAACGTTATGTTTGAGATTATGTGTCAATTCAAGCATTTCTTTGGCCACTCTTTCCTGAATAGAGTTTTGGTATTTGACGACAGTATCGAAATCATCGGTTGAATTGCTCTCTTGTTTTGTCTCTCTTTTCCTCAAATCATTGGACTCTTTGCCACTAAAAAAGAGTTCACTTCTGATGTCGTTTTCAGCCCTTGTTTTAACGTTTANCAGAACATCCGCCCCATTCCCACTTCCCTCGAGTGTCTTTGTTCCTCACTTTGTCATCACATCCACATTCGCTGATCTCTCCTTTACTACACGCTCTCGTTATACTGTATGCAATTCCCGCCGCACTCACCGCATGTATGTATGCCTTCTCTCGACTGTCTGTTTACCAATTCATTTGTTATTTTCAATCAAATTCATATAATTTACATTAAGTTTGTCTTTCAATCATTATTGCATTTAATTTTACTGTTAACTGCATTTATTATTTAGTGAATAGGATTTAAAATAATGTAAATCCATAAACCAATTACTATATCCATAATAGTAAAAATTAGTTCATAGCAGTAAGCTTGTATAAAATGTACGTTAACTCATATTTTTGCGTTAAATATATGGAAAATGTGGAAATATGTCCAATCATTTAAAAGATTGTCTCAAAAACACATTTCTATTTCTAGTTTTCTAACTAATTAATGACTTTTGACAGAAAGAAAAACAAAACAGGAATTTTTGAAAGAAATTAATAAAATCTTACTGATGTCTAAGACTCCGCCAAACACTTTATGTTGTGGATCTTGATATGTGGTGCAATTCCATCTGTTCATCTGGAACTGATGCTGACATTCTTCAATTCCAAGTTTGGCCCCTTTTGCCACCGTTTGCAGAATATTTTGGTTTAGTGAACATAATTCTCTCTGTCTCTCAACAAAATAGTCAATTTCTTTGCATTCATTTTTATAAGTCGATGGCTTTATATCAATTGCATTTTCGTAGTGCTGAGGCGTTCCCACAGACCTAACAATCAGCATTAAATATTGTAATTTCAATGTATTCTTTTTATTTTTATATATTATTATTTTATTTGTATTTTATAAAAAAAAAACCCATGAGTTTTCATTAATCTAACTTTAAATTGATATATTTTTTAATCGTTTGCCTTTTCTTTTGAGAATATTTCGGTCAACAATATTTTTGCAAAATAAATTAATCCCTCACTGATTGAGCTTTTATATAACTTGTTACACCCTATTAAGCAATATCATAAGTTTGATATTTATACCTTGTTAATTTTAGTTATTTAATAAATTAATATAATTAAATTTTTCAATATCTTTATAATTAGTTTTGTATGAGTTTACTGTAAAATAAATTGAGAATAAACTTATTCAATAAAGTGTAACACAATATGATTATACAATTTGAATGCAGACCATAATGTAATCCCTAATCCCAAAGCCCCGATCATT